TCGGTTTTAACGTAAAAATCTGTTGTGTGTGTGTGTTTTTAATTAGGAAGGTAAATGGATCATTTTAAAGATTCGTGGGTGGGTCCAACACACGTTTCGATTCGGGCCGTTTGGATCGTCTTTAATTATTATTTTATCAATAAGGCCCATCATCATCTACAGAGTACCGTAATAAATGAGCCAGAATTAGTTTTACCAAAAAAAAAGAAAACTTAACCAATGTGTGAGTGTAGTGAGGACTTAGTTAAATATGTATCAATGATCCCAATTATCTATGCGTCTTAGTTATGGCAGGATGGCCTAATGAATTTTCCTCTAGAAATACTTAAAACTTTCTATGCATCCGTTGTACTCTTCATGTAATTTATTGTCTTACCATCATATTCCAAGACAAAATCGTTACTGCATGTATACTGACTGATACATGCAAGAAAAGATTTTAGTGTGTGGAGAATATATCACACCAGCAAAGTGTTCGTCTGGTAGTATTTTTGTTTTTTCACTAGTGAGACATTTTTGTTTCCGTGATCTTCTCCAAAGTGTAAAATTTTGTTACCGTACATTTATGCTTATGGATACAAAACAATAGATTTATCTTGTGGCTCACGATGAGGATGACAGTCATATAATCCAACCCAATGTATCTAGAAGATTGGGCAAACTTGATGCTGTTACTCCGAATGATCTGCGTGTGTCCAAGAGATTTAGAAAACAGCATATAGTTTGTAATAAACATAATGAAAAAAATAGATTGTATAATTAATTGAACATTATATTTCATATAAAAATATAGATGTATTTATAGTTTTCTAAATAGTAGTTAAAGATAAATTCATAACAAAACGATTGAATTCAAACATAAAACTTATGTGAATTTTTAAATGTTACTGATTATATAGTAGTTTTAAATGACATATGGATAGTATTTAAAATATATTTTCCCACTATTAATCATTTGAGGGAAATGTGCTGGGATGGAAGAGACACACGTAAAGAGGATTCTGATGAAATCATTAATCAGTGAGCTGTATGTATGGAGCCAACTTAATAAAGTTACACATTCGTCATCAAAAAGACATTCAAAGCTAGTTCGATATATATAGTAACACACACATGTGTGTGTATATATAGACTCGCTATGAAATGTATGCATGTGGCCAAATTGCGTCGATCATTGAGGAATCAAGCAGACTTTCTTTTGTGTAATTTTTTATGGTGGTTTCCTTTTGAATTGAGTTTATGTAAAGATTCTTTGAAAGCTGCTAAAAAGGGCATATAAGATACCCTTTTTTAGACCAAAATGCATCTTCTCCTATATTTCTTACTTGTTATTATGATCACAAAATTCGCAATAAATACATGTAACGTATTTAGAAGAAATGATTTATTTGTACTCTATAACTATTTCGAACCTCTTAAGATGTACGAATGAGTAGGGAATATAGAAGCAAAAGAAAGTAGATACAAGCAATTCCTAAACCTGGTTCTAACAGACTCGAGCAACAACGTTGGAATCCGAAAACCCTAGTTTCCTAAGCTACAACTAGCTTGCTACGTGTTCAGAATCAAAGGCTTGAACGTGTTCAAATATTAGTTAATTAGTTCCAAGTTTTTGACGCTTTCTTAAGGTACGACCACGACAGAAGAAGGCACACAAATTGAGGAAATCACCACTCCTTGACTTGTCTCATTTCATAGATACCAGTATAGTAAATTAAAACCACAATTATTAATTCATGCATAACATTTTAATCAAAGGGTATCAAAATAGAATAATCTTGGATTTTGATAACTAACTTGCTAAATTTCTTGTATTAGCCTATATATATTTTGATATTTTCTAATGTATAACCATGTAATGTGTATATATATAGCGATTAAAAAAAGGACCGACGAACTTCTTTATATTATTTTAATCATCTGTTCCTCAGATTGTCTCACCGTCACCTTCTCTAGCAATGAGTTTCACGGTGGTGGTTATTGTCCGGCGCCGGAACCGGTGGGAGAACGTCATTTGGAGTGGTCACTATTGATGATCGCAGAGTTAGAACATATTTTCTTCACGTCGTATCTGCTTATATCGAAATTGGTAATAGCGTTTAGCCCCCTGAATTTTATTGCTGCGATGTCATACGCTTCCGCTGCTTCTTCTTGCGTGCCTTAATCACAAAATATATAAAAATATTCGATAATTGATTCAAAAATTGTATATATATAATGTTATTTTAAGCATATATAAAAGTTGTTTCATACTAAATGTGCCAAGGTACAAGTCCTTGTTTCCAGCAACTCTTCCAATTCTAGCTTGCCATCTTCCATGTTGATGGTGCCTGTTTATACATGCATGATCATTATCATTACATGCTAGCCTATATATGCATATATAATTTCGCAAGAACATGCATGTCCAAATCAAACCTTGTGACTCCTCTGTAAACCGAAGCTCCCCTCGAAAATCCACTGCTGTTCCTATAATATGAGAAATTCGACACAAAAAGTTGGTTGAATAAGTTTGATTTTGAGGTTGTGAAGAGATTGATACAAGTTTTAGGTTGTGAAGAGATTGATTTTGAGGTTGATTGTACCTCCTCAACATGGCAACAAATTCTTGCCTAGTCATGTTTTTTAGTTCCTCCATCTCCTTCTCGTAATTACTCGACTGAATTTAAGAGCGTCAACAAAAAAAACTGTAAGCAATAACTTTAATAACTTCGTAAAATATTGACATTCAAGATCCATATATCCAAATACTTCAGTAATAAGCTTGTTATGTTGCATTGATATGTATACACATTTCCACATCAGAACTCACAGGGAAATTTAAGTGAGTGGTGGGACCCCAATACTTCACTGCCGCTAAATCATAAGCTCTCGCGGCTTTCTCATCTTCATCATACCCTCCTGTTATAGTGTTGCTTAGAGCATGATTAACATGAGTCTTTTATACAGTATCTAACTAATTAAAAACTTTAAAAGGCTATGTGTTCCATTATCATTCTTTGATCGTGTTTTATATTTTCAAAAATAATTAAACCAAATAGAAGTGATTAAAATATAATATTTAAGAGACCCACTAGCGTTTTGGCGTTAATCATGTTCTTACAGTATTAATTATAGTTAAAAATATATTTTTCATTATCATAAAAAAAGCTTCATAGTGATCAGACCAAAACTAGGGCAACAAAAATTCGAGGGATCCCAAGCAAAATAAGTTCTTGAAATAAAAGTTTTCACTTACCAAGATATACTGCGATTGATCAAGAAGCGAAATGGGAAGTACATAGGAATTAAAACCAAGAAAATCGTTAGTAAAATTATAGATAATTTTTTTTTAAGTATTTATAAAATAGTTTTCTAACCTTGTTTCCCTTTCCTGGTCTGTCCTTCTTTCTTACAGCTACTGTCCCATAAGTGAGCTTCATATCTCCCTGTCCATCTATGTCTGAATTGATGCACAAATATGTGTCAACACAAAGTACACAACATATGTATAATTTAAAATAAACATTTTAACATTCACATTTATATTACGTGTAAGTTTGAGCTTCGACGATTTAATTACGTACGTACCTTGTAACTCCACGATACCGAGAAGTTCTCTGTCCGAAACTATCAACGGATTTCCGAGGAACCGATTCTTTAACCTGATGAGATTTACCGATCAATCTCTTCGACTTCTCATCTACCTTAACCGGTACAGATACATTAATCGATTCGTTGTTTATTTCAGAACCAACGCCATGACTCATAGTCATAGCCAATGATAGCATCGAGCCATTGGTGTTATAATCAGTCTCTTCGTTACTAAAATGACTAGTGTTGCTCGTACCACCCTCTTCAGCGACATAAGTACTATTCGACAGTGGAAATGTTGGAGTGCTTTGGCTTGACCAAGATCTAAAAACCGAAACCGCTCCATAATCATGACTTAGGTTCGGATTTAGGTTCGTGTATTGTGGTGTAACTACGGTTTGCTCGTGGAGAAGGTAACCTAGTGGGTTTAATCTGTTAACCATATTGGTGCAATTGACATTAGTTTGGTTATGGTTTATAGGAATAAGACACTGATCGGCTTGATGAGTACTATTGGAGAAGAAATCTTCCGGCTTTAGAACTTCTTCGTCGTGGTGATGATGATCAACGTTAATATCATCATATCTCCATACTATGTAATAGAAATCAAATCAAGAATATTAAAAGTCACATAATCAACTACTTATATATAGTGCATATGTATGTATATGCTAACCAGGAGGAGAATGATGTGTGAGAGGATCGGTGAAGAAGAGAGAACCATCGGAACGGAGAGGCATGCGAGCTTTATGTTGATCGGTAACTCCATAGTTTCCGTCGTCTATGTGTTCTTCTAACTCTTCCTTTTCTTCTTCTCTATCGCAGATTCTCAAACTAGGTGTCAAAGAAACCCCAAACCATTTGTTCATCTCTCTCTATAGGGTTTTGTGGTTTATATGTGTGATTTTGTAGTCTCATACGTGTGATATGCTATTGTTTTTCTAAACTTTAAGTAAAGGTTTGATTGTAGCTATCTATGCATGAGACCATATATGAAGGACTCATTAAAGGACAAATATTAGAGTTAATAAATAGAAGAAGAGATTATATAAGACAAAAGAGGTGGCGGTGAAGTTTTGTCGTAGCATGAAAGAGAGGAAGAGGAAGCTTCTCTCTCTTTACTCTTTACACAATCTTTTTAGGGCACTTTGCATACGAGAGATCTCCAATGAAGAGTTTAATGGTTTTTAGCCTTAAAAGATTTATAAAATAGCTAAAAAATATGAAAGAGAATAAAGAGGGGTTTTTAAAGAAAAAACTCTTGCCATTTTTATAAAAACTCATATAATGTTTGTTTATATGTGATTGGTTTAAAGAGTTTTTAATGATTTAAATTTAAAAATAATTAAAATTGTTAAAATAATATATTGTAGCTACTGATATCTATTGAGGATGCTCTGACTTTCTATAGGGTATTGTGCCTTCTTTCCCTTAGATATTTTTAATGTATAACTAGATCTTTAAGCTAGATTTTTATTGGGATCTTGATTCTTCTTTTGGATCATATAACTAGCATGATAACAACCGTATAAAAAACCACTAATTCCGATTTTTCCTACAAAAATATGTGTTCTCTACAAAAACAAATGAAATACAACACAAGCTATAAGAAACATCAGCTGTGTTTTTTTGGATATATTAGGTTCGAGTGGTTATACAAAGTTGTATAAATTTTTGTATGGTACGAGATAATAGTTCAAAATAACCAAAAATTTAAAAACAATACGAAGTAGTCATAATTAGAGATGATAGTTCCACTTATTATATAGTACAAAATAAGACAAAAGATGATGTGCATTAATCATTATAACGTTGTGAAACTATTAAGATTTCTACCTTTTAAGTATAGTTAAAGGCCAAGCAAAAAGTAATATAGAATCACGAGTCAGAAGCTTAAAACAGCTTTGTAAAAAATGGTTATACCAAATACCAGTTTGGATATCTTCATAAAGAAATTGGTATAGCAATAACTGGTGAAGACGATTAATCCTCTTGAGTGGTTAAATTAATAACTTGATTCTATTTATTTGCAAGATCTTTTGACAATAGGCCAAAAAAAGAGGTACCGACTGAGACGATTTGGGCTAAAAAAGCCCATGGGCCGATTTCATTTAAATAATTAAATGTTTAATATTTTATTTTCCGATATTGCCTTATTTACAGTTTCTCGGAAAATTTCTGCACGCTGATAAAAAGCTGTATAAAAACCCTACGCTCCGCTCCGTCTTCTTCTTCCCCAGTCTCACAAAATATTTTCTTCGAATAAATCTTCCTCAAAGGAAATTCCTTTATAAAGCTAATCAGAAATAAAAATATTCACTGAATCTCGAATTCGAAGAAACTCAGCTTAGGGTTTCCACCACTCCCAAAAAACTCCGATCTCTGTTGTAGCATAATCGCGAAGATCCTTACTTTCTGGTAAGCCCTCGAGCGAAACCCACAAAAAAAAAAAGATTCGTCTTTTTTGTTTTGTTTTAAGAGAACGGTGAAGGAGACGAACTAGCTTCGGACTCGGTGACGATACTGATTTCGAGGCATTGTTGACTAAAGACTGGATTTTTGAATCTGGGTTTTAGGTTTTTTTTGCTAAAAATGGATGACCTTGAAAAGGCAATACTAATTAGCTTTGAATCTGGTGGTGCTGTTGATTCAGCGTTACAGTCTCAGGCGGTTAGTTATTGTCAGCAAATCAAAGAAACTTCATCTATATGTAGTATATGTATTGAGAAGCTTTGGTTTTGTAAGCTTGTTCAAGTTCAGTTCTGGTGCTTGCAAACGCTGCAGGATGTATTGAGGGTCAAGTACGGATCATTGAGCTTGGATGAGCAGAGTTATGTGAGGAAATCAGTGTTCTCGATGGCGTGTTTGGAGGTTATTGATAATGAGAATGCTGTTAGGGTTGTGGAAGGACCGCCATTTGTTAAGAACAAGCTTGCTCAGGTTTTGGTTACGTTGATCTATTTTGAGTACCCTTTGATTTGGTCGTCGGTGTTTGTTGATTTTATGCGTCACCTGAGCAAAGGAGCTGTTGTGATCGATATGTTTTGTCGGGTTTTGAATGGTTTGGATGATGAGTTGATTAGCTTGGATTACCCTCGGACAGCAGAAGAGATATCTGTCGCTGCTCGAGTCAAGGATGCAATGAGGCAACAATGTGTCCCTCAGATTGCTAGAGCGTGGTATGACATTGTGTCATTGTATAGGAGTTCTGATCCTGATCTTTCTGCTACTGTGTTAGATTGTATGAGAAGATTTGTTTCTTGGATTGACATTGGTTTGGTCGCAAATGATGCATTTGTTCCGCTACTTTTTGAATTGATTTTGTCGGATGGGTTGTCTGATCAAGTCCGCGGTGCAGCAGCTGGGTGTGTCTTAGCCATGGTTTCTAAGCGGATGGATCCCCAGTCAAAACTGCCCCTTTTGCAGACCCTTCAAATAAGTCGGGTTTTTGGTTTAGTGTCAGAAGATGTTGATTCAGAACTGGTATCAAAAGTATCTGCTTTGCTTACTGGCTATGCTGTTGAGGTTCTAGACTGCCATAAGCGGTTGAACTCAGAGGACACCAAGGCAGTCTCGATGGATTTGCTGAATGAAGTTCTGCCATCGGTTTTTTATGTCATGCAGAACTGTGAGGTGGATTCTACTTTTAGTGTCGTCCAGTTTCTCCTGGGCTACGTTTCAACTCTCAAAGGCCTCCCTGCACTAAAGGAGAAGCAACTGCTCCACATTACACAGATTCTTGAAGTGATTAGAATTCAGATTTGCTATGATTCCATGTATCGTAATAACCTTAACTCACTGGATAAAATTGGGTTGGAAGAGGAAGATAGAATGTCTGAGTTTAGAAAAGATCTCTTTGTCTTATTCCGTACAGTTGGACGTGTTGCTCCTGAAGTTACTCAACATTTCATTCGAAACTCTTTAGCAAATGCTGTGGAATCTTCATCCGAGAGAAATGTCGAAGAAGTAGAAGCAGCGCTGTCGCTTTTGTATTCACTTGGAGAGTCTATGACGGAGGAGGCCATGAAAACAGGATCTGGATGTTTGAGTGAATTAATTCCAATGCTTTTGACCACACAGTTCCCTGGTCATTCTCACAGACTAGTTGCACTAGTGTACTTAGAAAACATAACAAGGTACATGAAGTTTATCCAAGAAAATTCCCAGTACATTCCCAATGTTCTTGGTGCTTTCCTTGATGAAAGGGGTTTGCATCACCAGAACGCTCATGTGAGCCGTAGAGCTTGTTACTTGTTCATGAGAGTTGTGAAATTGTTAAAATCAAAGCTTGTTCCATTCATTGACAAGATCCTGCAGGTAAGGAATTGATTTTCTCTTGTCTATACCCATTTCGGTAAATCCGATATATTTGTTTGATTAATTATTTGACAATATTTTTTTTTTGGAAAAATCAGAACCTCCAAGATACATTAACCCAGCTGACGACCATGAACTTTGCATCAAGAGAATTTTCAGGAATTGAAGATGGTAGTCACATTTTTGAGGTTATGACTTGCCCCTTGTAGCTCTGCTATTTTCATGTACTTCTGAGTTGGAAAAGACACTTTTTATAGCACCTTAAACTAAATTCTGCATCTCCCAATGCGATTTACTGTAGGCCATTGGCTTAATCATAGGATTGGAGGATGTCCCAGCTGAGAAGCAGTCAGATTATCTGTCTTTACTGCTTACCCCTCTCTGTCAACAGGTTTTGCTTCATCGTGTTCTCTTGTTTGCATGACAATACTGGCATTGTTTATCGTCAAATGTACTTAGCTCTTTCCATATGATTGTGCCAGATTGAGAAAGGACTTGCGGAGGCAAAAGTCGCCAGTCCCGAAGACTTTCCTGTAAAGATTGCAAATATCCAGTTTGCTATTATGGCAATTAATGCTCTTAGCAAGGTTTGTCCTCCTTTATTCTAGTTTGTACTTCGAGTTTTGCCCTCTTCTGGGCTTGACCTTACACTTTTGTTTGAAATTCAGGGCTTCAGTGAACGTCTTGTTACTGCGAGTCGTCCTCAAATTGGTCTCATGTTTAAGCAGGTTTGTACGAAAGATGATTTCTTTTCTCTCTTGTGAATAATGTAGAACATCGTTTTGCAATCTGCCTTTCAATGTTATTCAACTTATTAAAAGTTCAATTGTCGACTGTGTATTTCACTGCCCTAATATAAGCTGCTCTGTCTTTGCTAACAATTGGGAACCTTTTTGGTAATGTAGACACTAGATGTGCTTCTAAGGATTCTGATTGAGTTTCCAAAGGTTGAGCCTCTGCGGAGCAAGGTATGAGTTTAGTTGTATGTTAATAAGTAGACATATTGTGACCAGTATTGTTAAATATTTTCTATAAAAATATTGATTCACAGTTTGGTGATTAGCTTGTTCCTCTTCTCTGCAGGTTACATCGTTCATACACCGGATGGTTGATACACTTGGGTCCTCTGTCTTTCCTTATCTTCCCAAGGCTCTGGAACAGCTACTTGCTGACAGTGAGGTATAACGAAAATTTCAAAGCTCACCTTATTTTGTTCAATACTCCACTGCTTTCGTTTCCTCAAAAGAACATTAGTTAAAACTCCTATGGTTCACTTGCTTCTGTCTATTGATCAGTATATTTCATTTTGTGCAATGATTCCGGGTTGAGAACATTAATTTGATAACTTTTTCAACTAAATAATCTTATTGTCTGTGCATTGTGTTGCAGCCAAAGGAAATGGTTGGTTTCCTGGTATTACTCAATCAGCTTATCTGCAAGTTCAACAGTGCTCTCCGTGAAATAATGGAAGAAGTATATCCCGTGGTTGCTGGTAGGATATTCAATGTAATTCCAAGAGATGGGTTCCCCTCACGCCCTGGTGCTGTAACTGAGGTATTTTTTTTATTTTAAATCAACTTTCTTATCTCCATGATGATTTCTGGGATATCTTGCACATGTAAATTGGAAACCTGTTGATATCGTAGCGTCCTTTATATTCACTGTCATATATACTTTTTCTGTTTAGGAAATGAGGGAATTGATAGAGCTTCAAAGAACGCTGTATACATTTCTTAATGTGATAGCCACCCACGATCTCTCTTCTGTTTTCCTTACGCCCAAAAGTAGGGCGTATCTAGATCCTATGATGCAGCTGCTTTTGAATAGTTGTTGTAATCACAAGGATATCACCGTACGTAAGGTTTGCAACAGTTACCCTTTTGTTAAATTTTCATATACTGTTGATGATCTTTTTCTCTTACTTATTACCCTCTTCGTTTATTCTTTGCCATAAAAATAGGCATGCGTGCAGATATTTACTAGGCTTGTAAAAGATTGGTGTGCCAAGCCTTATACCGAGGAGAAGGTATGCCTGCTAAATAATCTTATGAACTTTCTTTTCTCCATGGAAGAACCATAAATGCCATAATTAAGAATTGTTTGCTTTCAGGTTCCAGGTTTTCAGAATTTCATGATCGAAGCTTTTGCAACAAACTGCTGTTTGTACAGTGTACTCGATAAATCCTTCGACTTCAGAGATGCGAACACTGTAAGCATAAGAATCTTCGATTCTCTTTTCTTCTTTGGTGTTTTATCTGTCAGCATCAGTTGTATAAACATATATCCACAACTAACTTTCTTCCTTCCCTATGCATCTGCTTTTTAATATAGCACTCCTTGTTCGGGGAAATCATCACGGCTCAGAAAGTCATGTATGAAAAATTTGGTAATGCATTTCTCATGCATCTTATGTCGAAAAGTTTTCCATCAGTAAATTGTCCACAAGACTTGGCGGAGCAGTATTGCCAAAAGTTGCAGGTTCGATAAGTTTTACTTTACCTCAAAACTACCACAAGTAGGTAATAATCCTCTTGTCTTGTGCTTAAACATACTTTCTCCTTGCTCTGTTTGGTATTCAGGGTAATGATATCCGGGGCCTCAAGTCATACTACCAATCCCTTGTAGAAAATCTCCGGCTACAACAAAACGGGAGTCACGTTTTCAGATAGCATTCAAAATACGAATAGTTGCATAGAAAAATCTCTCAGCTTAAATTCTGCTGCTAGCAACTGCTGTGAACTCGAAAAGGTTTTAACAACAAATTTCTCTTCCTTGATTTTTACATTGTAATGTTTGAAGCAATATCTTTAATATAATGTTATTCCATCTCATTGCAGGTTTCTCCATATGTAAATATCATTGTCAATGTCTACTTCAGCGGCAACAAGGTTTGGTTTCGACCATCCAGATCATTCGTATAAAAGCTTGATAGAGATTTATACTGTTGTTGATGATGATTTCTTCTATGGTTCTTTCTTTCTCAAATCTGCAGTTGTACCGTACCAAATCATGTTATTGATTCTCACTCTGAAGGAGATTTACTCGAACCAAAGCTTGCAAGTTCTTCCAGTGCCAACAGTCCAAGCAGATTTGCTGTTTTTGTTTTTCGTTTTTTTGCCCCTTTTGTTGTGAGATTATGTCTATAAAAGCCACCTCTAGTTTTGTTCTATCTCCGAATTTTGATGGATTCAATGTTTGCTCCATGAGAATACTTAGAAAGCTAAGAGAGATAGAAGACAGAAACCAACAATTTTGGATGACTTTTTCTTTCTATTTCATTTATTCAATATGAAATTGTTTACAAAACATAGTACAACTTATTTTGGTTGTGGTACTGTGTCATTTGAAATGAAACATAATACGCTTCAGTTGATGGGAGAGTCTTCCCCTTCTACACATACATCCAGCTCTTTTATGGACCATGTTTTCTCTGATTATCCAGCAGAAGACAGACAGATGTAAAGTTCGTCACCGAAGTAATGGCTTGTTTTTATGGAGCACTACAAAAAGTTTTTTTTTTTTTT